TTACCTGAGTAGGGGCGTGAGGACTGAGAAATGGCAGATAAAGAAAGAGATAGAAACTCAGGATAGATTTGGGAGCACTGCCCGGTCCATGCCTTTATCACACCAGACAGCCAGGAGTTTATTTTTGAACCTGCTTTATATACAGACTGGAGGCAAAGCAGAACAAACAGCAGTATAATCAGTTAACCAGCTCCCAGCACAGTCCTTGAATGGAGGAGCAGCCAGGGTCACTCTCTATCATGTGGGTCCTACTAGCCACTGCATTATCTATCTGTGTGCCTACAGCTGGCATCAGAAGCTTGTTAGATAATATGCTCTTTTCCATGGGCTTAATCTGAACTTTCTCACGGCTCTCAAGGAGCCTGGAGCATGCAAGCTTGAGCTCTAATGTCTTGTAAGTCAGAATAGACTCCAGATGGAGACTGAGTTGCTTGCAGGCTCCCACAGTGGACCTGATAAGTGACACTGCAGTCATCGTCTTGAGACTATGGGAAGACTCCAAAGATGGATCGTGCACAAAAGTAGCAGAGAGGGCAGCAGACAGAGCCGGGACGAAGGTGCCTTTTCCTATCTAGATAACTTTTAGGTGAGAACTCAATGCTTATCTCATGTACTCTTTCTTACAGACACTAACTGGCTAATCACAATTCCTAGCAGATACAGCGGCCTCTTCCTACCCCTCCACCCATACCAGCCACCCCCCATCTCCTTCCCTAGACACTGCTTCTTCTTGTCCGTCCCGAAACAAGCTCTCCCCTGCCACTTACTCTTCTCAGTGCCTAGATTCCAGTCACCTCTTCCCTGATCTACTCCATGGATTCACACCGCCCCCACCCCCAGTGTAGGTTCTCAAAGTCTCTCCTCGGGGACATCTGTCTGTACTGTAATGTTACATTTATATGTATCATATTTGGACTCAATGTGTGTTCTTTGACTAGTCTTTTCTTTTCCTTTCTTTTGAGACAGGATCTTAGACTGTGACTCAGGCTGTGACCCAGGCTATCCATTAGCCTTGTATTTCTCAAACCCGAACTCAGCTCCTCCTAGGAGGCTTTGTACTGCTGTTCACTTCTGCCTGAAACGCCGTAAAGGCAGCAGGGTGTTGAAAGTTTGTGGACAGCAGCTGGGTGAGGCTAAAATTAGTCAGAGTTCTGTCCCTGTATCACCAGCCTTGAAGAAGAGGTACTTATTTCTTCAGCAAAGACAGCAGGGTCTTTTGGATGACATTTAGGTAGAGGTGGTGTTTGTTTGTTTATTTACTTTTGCACTGTGAAGAGTGAGTGGTGCCCAGGATGGAAGCCTCCTTCTCAGAGCTGGAAGGGTTTCTTCTCTGATGGATGATAATCCTGTGGATAACTCTAGGCAAAGGTCAACTAGCAGCCATTTAGCACATCTGACCGAGGTAGAAGGGGAGAAGTGTCCTAAAGGCCGACGCCAGACTTTGTCCTGTCCCAGTATTCTTTTGGTTCATTTACTTGACACCAAGCACCTTCATTGTCCCCTAAGGATATTCTGAACTCAGGGAGTTGACAATCTTTTGTTTTTTCTTGTTGTTGTTGCTTTTTGCTTTTTAGAGACTGAGTTTCTCTTTGTAGTCCCAGCTATCCTGGAACTCGCTCTGTAGATCAGGCCGGCCTCGAACTCACAGAGATCCTCCTGCCTCTGCCTCTCAAGTGGTGGGATTAAAGGTGTGCGCCACCACTGCCTGGCTTAGTTGATAGTCTAGAGGGAAACAGTCACAGTGATGGGGCCAGGAAAGAGAGGTAGGTGGTGTCCTGAGAAGTCATAGTGCAGGTAGGAGTTTGTGTGTAGGGTTGACCTATCAGACAATGGAGGAAGCGGCTCTGGTTGAGCCTAGCAGGACGGGTATGGGATCAGTGGGCAGAGACAGGATGAGACCTAGTGGAAGGCGGCCTGGTTCAAAGAGTCACAGAGCCTTGGTCTCTGCATGCTACTAATGTATTCCCACAGGAGTTCCCCACAAGGCTTCAGGGACTCTAGGGAAAGGCTGTTCATCGTCGCAATGACTTTTGTAGGCCATCACAGAAAGTTATTTTCAGAGTCCGGCAGACTCAAGGTGTGCTGGGGTAGGATCCGCTCTGCTCTCATGAGCTCACTGTGCACATCTCTCTCCAGCTCAAAGCTCAGTGCTATCACATCGGTGGGAGGAAGAACATATGCCAAGAAAACCAGCAGCTGCTGTATGTCAGGGATTCCTCTTTGTTCTTTGGGTGCCCACCACCCGGTTCCCAAATAAATACACGGAGACTTATTCTTACTTCTGAGTGCCTGGTCTTAGCTTGGTTTGTTTCTAGCCAGCTTTTCTTAACTAAAAATATCCTGTCTACCTTTGCTTTTGGGCGTTTATCTTTCTCTATTCTATATGAATTTCTTTCCTTCTTACTCTATGTTGGCTATGTGGCTGGGTGGCTGACCCTGACATTCTCCTTCCTTCTAATCTTGCTCTTTCCTCTTCTCCAGTCTATTTATTTTCTCTGCCTGGCAGCCCTGTCTATCCCTCTCTTGCCCAGCTATTGGCTGTGCAGAGCTTTATTATTAGACAAATAAGGTGCTTCAGGCAGGCAAAGTAGCATAGCTTCATAGTTAAACAAACACAGTACAAAAGAATGCAACACATCTTTGCATCACTAAAACAGGTGTCCCACAACATAGACAAATGTAACACATCTTAAAGTAATATTCCACAGCATTTATAAACAGGCCGCCAAGCATGAACCACCTCTTCTGTTTTCAGAGATGTTCTGTATCTTGAAGCAACGCAAGTCTCCTTGAAGAGGCTGACTTTATGACAAAGTGACATGATAGCCTTTGGATCCTACCTGAGACAGCCAGAAAAAGAAACTTCTCTGGCCCACCTCTGATCTCCCTGCCATGTGAAATGTTCCCAGGAAGCTGGCTTCCCAGAAGCAGAGCTCTGAAGTGCTGTAAGCTGAGGGTCTAAGATGGTTGGACTTGGTCAGTAGTTGCCAGGTACCAGGGCAATGACTGGACACCAGGACCCCATCCCTCTCCTCCAAGTAGACGTTGGTTGTCAGCAGAGGATAGGTACAAGGCATGTGCATAGTCCCCACACCATGCTTTTGTTACTCTGTTGCTCTGGAGAGCTGGGACCTGTTCTAGCTGCCTTTGGATCTCTTGCAGGATCTGACATGGTACCCAATTCATAGCCAATCTCTCCCTAGGTTGGCTTTCAAAGGAATCAATCCTACGAAAGAGAACCCAGAAAGTCTACACAGCTAGAGCTTGTCCTCACCTCAGCTCTTTACTTTGTAACGTTTCCTTCTGTGATTTCCTATTTTCCACAACACTCAGCTCAGGCAAGCTCTGGGACATCTTCCCTGAGACCCCAACACTGGAGGGGTGTGACACTATTTATCTTTGTTCTCTAAGGTTTTATGCCCACATCATCTGCTGTAAATGTCTACATCTTGTTCAGCCCTGGTCCCTGATACAGTGTGAGGCGTGGAATATGTGCCTAGTTGAGATGTGCTAGGTGATGCTAGTACAGAGAGGTTAGACTCAGGAGAGACTGGAGAGCAGCTCACCTCACAAGCAAGCTCCTGGCCCATGTAGCCCCTGCGATGGGCAGCAGGCTGTCACTGTGGCACACAGGGATGAGGCCAATTCTAAGCTACAGGGAACTAAGGAGAAACGGGCATAAAGTTCTCTACCCCATCTTCTTGGCCTCAGTGCAGGCCAGCAGTTTTGAAAGACGCCCTTCACCTTCCTACAAAGGACAAGAAGTCAGTCACCAGAGGCAAGCCAAGTCTGGAGGAGACCAGAGGGAACCACACACTACAACGGTCTCCCTCAGTGCTCAGTGCCACCCGTGACCTCCTCTAAGTCTTGGAGTAGTTAAACTTGAGTGCTGCTATCACAAAATACTTGACACAAGCACCCTAAGGAAAGAAGGAAGGGTCTACTCTGCCTCTTGCTCTGAGGAGACACAGAGTTACTATGTTTCTGTTAAGGTGCTCTGAGGAGACACAGAGTTACTGTGTTTCTGTTAAGGTGCTGTGTGATCCAGGCCCAACTTCCACCTGAGCCACTCAGCATGGACAGCTCTCGTTGCTCCAGATGAATTCACAGGAAGACTTAAGAGGTTAGAAGGGAAAGGCCGTTCTTCTCATCCAGACACTGTAAGGTCCCCAGGGCCCCTTTCTCTAACAATCCTGTGAAAGAAACCATCATTTCCACCGCACAGAGGAGAAACTGAAGAGCGAGGCTGTTAGTCGTCTTACCCAGTGTCACAAAGCTGATAACAGCTTTGGAGATCACATGGGACTCTCTACCTTCCGTTTCACAGTGACTTAGGGGTGACTGGAGCTATAGCACCCAATGTCAGAGTTTAAAAACTGTTTATCTTAAAGACCCCTTTCTCCAATTCTTAGCAGACTCCATGACCTGCACAGAGCACAGTAATTCCTTGATGCTAACCAAACACCTGAGGTGGGGATTCTACGGTTTACAGCTTAGGAGGCTGAAAATCCAAGTATCATGGCACCAGCTCTGACAACACCCTGCTCCCTGGACACATCCCTCGAATGAAAGAGAAGGCAGCACACCAGGAACATATGAGGAAGGAGAGATCATGTGGCAAGATGGAGGGCAGACAGCATGAGGACGCAGCTTGCTGGCTTGAAGCAGCACTCCCATGAGGACTATCAACTACTCCAGGGGCAGTGCCCTCAGCTGCCCAGCTCCTTCCCACTAGGCAATGGGCTCCTGAGCAGTTCTAGTGCCTCCAAACATGCCCACTCTGAACATCAGGCTTCCGGAACAGGCCCTCAGGGGACAAATCAGACCACCTCCAGCATAGTAGGGAGCAGCTGGGAATACTAGAGAGTTTAGGGGAGTAAACTAGCTGCATTCCTGTGTGTGGTGGCCAGGATGGCTTGCAGGTGCTGGGACGGGTACTCGGGAGCCCTTGTTGGAGTCAGCACAGGGCCCAGGAGAGGAAAAGAATGTCTTATTCTCACCTTTTGTTGAGGGAGGAAGTGATGAATGTCTCACCAACCCTGCCGGGGCGCCACGACAGATCAGATCTCCCTTGGAGGAAACTCGGGAACCACAAGACAACCGCCACACTGGAGGCTTGCTCGGCGCCTCGTGTTCTCCTTTAGCTCATGTGCGATGTTTCCGCCCCCAGCAGACAATCCTTGTGACAAGTGGAAAGCAAGTTAAAAAAAAGTCTGGAAAGAATGAATGCACCAAAGAGAGGACAGATGCCAGGAGCCTAATCAGGAGGGACACACAGCTCCCTGGACACAGGCAGGAAGGAGGGGGCCTCCAGGGGGAAGCCTAACCCATGTGCCCTGTAGCATGGGCTCCCATCGCTCCTGAGTAGGAAGGGGTAGGCTGTGGGAAGGGTCACAGAGCAGGTACTGCCTTCAGCCCCAAATTACATACATGGGCATGTGCTACTCTAGCCAAAACTACTTATAGTCAGTGACCCCAGCATGGGGTCTCCTTTGCTGAAAATTTTGAGTGTCAGTAATGGTCCCTAAATGGGTGAGCATTTATAACAGAGTCAGAACAAAGCGTGGTACAAAGTCTCCCTTCGTGAGCACACTGGCTTTTGCTTCTGCAGCTGACACCTGCCCTCGAGCTGTTCCTACAGGGGAGGGTGTCACCTTGTCACTTCATGCTCAAGTGACAGGCTGGCATAAAAACTACAATTTTAATAATCTTGCCTGTTCCTCTCCAAACTTCAGGCAAGGGTATCACTGCCCCCATGGGGCTGTCACGTTTTGCTTTGTTCGTTTCCTCGTCTCTTCTTTTTCCTCCTCAGAGCTGTGCTCCAGAAGGGATGTGGAAGAAGTCATTACTCTTGGGGTGGGTGGGGTATGTAGTGGAAAGGAAAATTTGATTGAACCCATGATGGTTCACGACGAGCTGCTCACACTCAGAGAACCTAAACAGGAGTCTTTGGGCCACAAAATGAAGCTGTTTCCACCTGGGTCGGGTGTGGGCCCTGAAAACTATGTTCTTGTTCCCAGGTTATATGAACAAGGGCAGCATTGGCTCATCAAGCAGTGTGGCATTGGGGGACCTAGCTTTATTTGTCCCTTTCTCATTTCCTAAAGATCCCTCTTTGTGGAAAGCCATGGGGTGTGCCATCCTAAACACCCCATCACTCTGCAAGGCCTGGGCATAGACTCTTCGTTGGGGACTGGGAGAGCCCTGCAGGAGGGATATGGGATATGCAGGAGCCAAGCTCTTAGGTTGTCAAGAAGGCGGCTCCCACCAGTGGTGTTGGGAGCTCTGGAGCCAGCATGGCCCCTTGGAAGGTGAGGGCATAGCCATTCTTGTCTTCACGTTGACAGTCAGATGATGGTTCTCAAGTCAAGACAAACTGCAGAGGCTGTGGTCACAAGCTACAGTGATGAACCCGTGTGGCGGCTCACAGTCGGGCACCCATGCCCTGCAGCGGCTACTGCACTGAGCTGAGTTTGGGGCCTTTCCCTCCTCTACCTCCTTTTATACATTTTTTTTATAGTCTAGTAGTTAATGGTAGGTTTTAAGTCTATCAGGTGTGTGCTCAAATCCCATTTCTGCCATTCATCTGATCCTGCTGGCAGCATCTGTTTCAGGTGGGACTGAAGAGTGAAAATCAAAGCCAAACCCCAAACCTCTGCCTCTGGAGCCAATACTGGATGGGTGAAAGGGACACAGCACATTTTAAAAAGCTTCCAAGAATGGACATAGGCAAATACACACAAAATACTGCTAGAAAGCATAGCTTAGCGGTAGAATGTTTGACGGGCTCACAGGAGGTCTGAGTGCAAGCCTCAGTAGCAGAGAAGAAAAGTCTATGACACAAGGTGGCCTGTGCTAGCTAACACAATATTACACGAGCGTTACAGACTTTGAAAACCACAGCAGCACCTTGGGGACCAGCAGGGCAGGTAGGCACCTTGTGTGGAAGTCAGCCCATGCGTCAGCATAAACATAAAGCAGGAAGGCGTGGCCACACAGAGATCTGGGCACAGTGGATTTTGGTGGAAGACAGAGTAAGGGCCGCAGATTGAGTGGATCCCTGATGGGCTGGGGGTGCTAAGGCTCACAAGGAGAGGGTGTTGAGGAGGGAGACTTTGTGTAGAGAATCCAAGGCAGGTGTCTCTGCAGGAGAGCACGGGTTGCTCAGGACTGGGTAAGCAGGCAGGATTGAGAGTGCGGTTTCTTTCTGAAATGATGGAGATCTTGTACGATTCTCTACAGTCCTGTGAATACACTAGCACTACACCATCATGCTCTCCGAGTGGGAAAGCCTTTGGCATGTGAAGGACCTCACTGAAGGGATCTCTTTAGAAAGCTGTTTAAGATCAGAGCAATGGCTGATGGGCAACAGGACTCTGTGAGGCCGTAGACCACAGTGAGGAGGCATGGACCCACCCCGAAGCATAGGGACTCTGCCTGATGGTTTGCTGAGGACTGACTGGATTTACATTTGAGGAACATCTCTGTTCTGTGCTGAAGGGACAGGCATGGGAGTAGGACTGTAGCAATCCCAGGGAAAGGTAACGGCGGCGCTGAAAGCAGAGGAGCCACATATGTGTGAGCTCTAGAGGAGTTCAGCAGGGAATGCTGAGTGTGTGTGTGTGTGTGTGTGTGTGTGTGTGTGTGTGTGTGTGTGTGTTTTATGGGAATGGGGTACCGTGATTTTTGGTCCTAAATAGTACAGTCTCTGTTTGCCAGAATGGAGACAACTGTGAGAATAACTCATGTGAGGTTGACACCCAGAGACTGTTTTGCTAGGTGAAGCTTCTGCGGTCTCTAGACATCTCCAATGCCAGTGGTAGCGTGTCTGAAGTCAGTCCGGTGAGAGATGAAACCCAGAATCACCAGCACATTCACACAGCTTAGACTGGAGACTGGATGAGACTTCAGGGGCACAGACACTGTGCCTGGTCCTTTGAGCCTTAGGTTTGCCAAGCCCTGGAAGGGTCACGACAGAGGCAGAGTTCACAGAACACTCAGTGGACCCCTCCTTCTCCTTGAATGTCCATCCCAGACTTCTCTTTTAAAAATGAGTCTCTTTTGTCATTGCTGTTCTTTGAAACTGGATTTCTCTGTGTAGCCATGGCTATCCTGGAACTCCCTCTGTAGACCATGCTAACTTCGAACTCACAGAGATCCCCCTACTTCTGCCTCCCAGGTGCTGGGATTAGAGTGGGGGGGACACTGATCCCAGACTTCTTTAGGCATTTTACCCGGCTCACTTAGAATCTCAGCATCTTCAGCATTATTATGTCCTGAATGTTGATTACGAATCAGCTATTTGCCAGGACATCAGATTCCTGCCTGAGGACCTGGCTCAAATATCCAAAGGGCACCTTTTCTTTCCTTCAGGGCCTAAGATAGCGGCCGAGCTGTGATTAGAGTCCCAGTCAAGCACTCTTGCAAGTCACTCCTGTGAGTCCTTCTAGGGTGATCTGAGAGAGGAAGGCAGAAAGTCAAGGTTGGAAGCCACAGTCTCTTTATAATCTAACATCAGAAGTGACACGCTATTGCTTGTGTGATACTCTGTTAGGAGTGAGTCAGGAGATTGTGCAGGGGCTCGAACACCGGAGATCACTGGGCAAGTCTTGGAAACTGTTCACATTCTCTCCCCTCCTTCTCTCATTGCTGGTCCTCTTCCGAGCTGAGCCCTCAACAAGTGCACAAACTGTCTGAGGCCCCTCCTCAGCTTTAAGTCATGTCCAGAAATCTCGTTTAAAAAGAAGCCTCCCTCCCACCTTGAGCTGTGACCTTTGGTCTCCCTCCTCCTGTCCTCCCCATTCTTGAGAATGTGACCTTTATTCCCTGAACAGCTCCCACCTCCACAGCCTTCCTGCCAGGTCACCAGTGACCACCTAAATGCCAGGTCACGTGGCTGCTGTTTTATTTAAGTTGACCTCTGCAGTATTTCCTTTTTTTTTTTTTTTTGCAGTACTGAGGATCAAACCCAGAGCCTCACACATAGTAGGCGGGTGCTGTAGTGTACCCCCAACCCCTTCTACAGCATCCAAGTGCTGCTAACTCTCTTTAGATTCAGCTGTTTTGTTCACTCCATCTTTTCAACCTCCCGTTACTGGGGCTCTGGCAGCTCTGCTGGGCTGGGCTTGGCCATCTGCACTCCACAGGCCAATTAAAGAGTACTAGTGAAAAGCAGAGAAAAGAAGTCCATCGTTATTAAAGAGTACTAGTGAAAAGCAGAGAAAAGAGGTCCATCGTTATGGCCACATTGGGAAGAGGAGCAAAGAGTGAGGGCCAGTGAGACCCCCAAAGCCCATTTTCTGGGTCCTGACACGAGGATTTATGCGTCGCTGTGATGTGGGTTACATGACTAAGCAGCCCCAGTGGAAGTGTGGTCCTGCCTGTCACTGTCTGGGCTTCAGTCTTTCTTGCAAAGCGGTCTGAGAAGTTGTCACAATGCAGTGAAATACCTTCCTAGGAACCAAATTCCTCCTCTGGCAGGTGCCAGCCATCAGCCTCTTTTGCCAAGCATGAGATTTCTGGGGGGACATTCCAGTCCTATGGGGACCATCTCTTTGGTGGTTGAAGGCCACAGGGATTCTACGGAACACAAATGTCTCTTTGGAATATCTTCGTTCCTGCCAGCATGGCTGTGTTCTGTCTCCGCTTACCTGGAAGTCTGAGCTTGTCCATGCCCTGCCACCGCCCTTGGCTTCACCTTCTGTCTCTCTACCGCACAACCCCACTCAGCAAGTCTACGTTTTGTAAATGTTACTGCAGCTGTGATTTTAGTTTGCCAACTCTGATGTGAAGGAATTAACATTCTTCTTGAGTTTAAGTCAGCTTCAGGCTAACACTGAACCAACCCCCTTTCTTGCTGCTGAGACCAAATATCCAACAAGATGGGTTTATTTCGACTCCTGGACAGACATGGCAGCAGGAGCTTGGAACAGCCCACCCACCTGGCAAGTCCAGAGAAGCCACTGTGGGCGTGGCCAGAAGGATCTGATGAGAGAGCCCTGGTGGCAGGTCTGTGTGTGCTCAGCTCTATTCCCAAAACGGCCAATCAGGTGAACTGTCCCTTGACTGCAGGTTGCAGTGAGGGCTCACCCAGCCAAGGGTTCCTTTAGCAGAATCCTTTTCAGGAGATGGGAACCCAGGAGCAGTGGTCTGGAAGGATGAGGCTGGGCCAGCGTGGCTCCCAAACTGTTGCATGTCGCCACAAGGGGGCGCCAGGTAGCTCTACTTAAACACCACCGTGGCAGTAAGGAGCCTCTCTTTCCAGTCCCTCTGATGTCCTCAGAGGTCCTTAATGGAATGACGGAACTATCCTCGCGCATTTTGTTGGCTGATTCTTTCCCCTTCAAAAGCTCTCAAACCCTCCACCCCCAATCCCGGCCCCTTAGGTGGATGACAGCAGCAGCCTCATCTTAATCTCTGTGTCTCTGCTTCCCTCCGCCATTCATGGAAAGTGGAGCTCTGATTACATTTCCAGCCAAACACATCCAGTACTTTTAACTGGACCTTCCCAAACTATCTAGTTTCCAGAACATTCATGCTAAACATATATGGAACGACTAGCTAAGCTGGGTAACTGCTGAACCCTGCTGGCCCCACCCAGCAGCACAGCAGTCTCAAACCTACCACACCCTCCGTCCTCTCCGTCCCTCCTCCCCACCCCCTCACCTGGAGACCATGGCGCAGTTGATTGGTTGCTGGATTCATAGGGAATTTAGTGGTGCTTTCCCTGGGGTGCTCAGCTGGAGACAGGCTGGAGGCGTGCTAGTGGGCCCTGCTAGGGAGCGGCTGCTTCGTGCAACCCCAGGGCCTCCTTGCCAATCAGACTTGCCGCCCTCATTTCCTGTGCTCCCGGAGATTAGATACTGCCTTAGCAAGGTCGTTTTTCTTCTCTTAATATTTGAAACTACTAAATACCAGTTGCCGTCCAAGTGGGTGGCGTTCAGAAATCCCCACTTTCCTGGTGTTTGACTTGTTGGTGAGTTTCAAGAAACGAATCTATTTGGAAAGAACCTGCACTTAGTTCTTTGAAGTGTTCTGAAGCTCGAGCAGGAAGTGACTTGGAAACCGGGTTAGACCATCTTGCCCCAGGCCCAGGAGAGGCAGAGGAAGGAAACGCAGGTGCATCTGGTATGGGTGTAGCTTCACACCGCCGAGCGCTCCTCAAGCATAGCTGCCCACACACGGAGCTGCATCAGAAATGAGTGTCAACAAACACATGTTTAATGCACACGGTGGAGCATTGTCTCAGCGGGGCCTTAGGAGTGCGGGACTACCACAGGAGGGTTTGATCGGCTCTTAACCTGCTGCAGTGTGTGTGGAACAGCTCAGGGAACTTCATAAGAATTCAGGGATCCCTGCACTTTTTCCCCCCTACGAATAAAGCAGCTGTTTTGAGACGGTCTTTGTGCCAAGGTGTTCAGGGACTATCCTCCAGGCCGAACGCCACCATCTTCATAAGTTCAACTGTGCCCGTTTGGCAAAAGGTCACCACGGCCTATTAATGTTCCTTCATAGAAGACTGAGGTGGTTGGGATCCTCTCCAACCAGGTGTTTGCAATTCAGCCCGATTGCACACGGCTTTGGGGAGGGGCTGGGAAGCACTAGGGAGAGGGGTTTCATGTCTGCAAGCCATAGCAGAGTTGTCACCCGCGCTTCCTGTAAGCCTTCCAGTATGGCTCCCTTCAGACACCCAGTCTTCTGCTCTGTAAGTAAGCCTAATAAACACATGGTTCCCCCAGAGTGAACCTCGGTGGATTTCTACCTTAGTCTGTCCTTGAGCCCTGTGAGGAGGGGAGGAAGCAGAAGTTGGATAGCTCCCTCCCACACACCCCCAGCTTCCCAGAGACAATTCTTACTACACAAGGCAAGGGCATTTCATGGGAGGTGGCAATGTATTCAGTCTGGCTGGGGATGTAGGCGTCGGCCTTGTTTCTTGAAGCTTGGGATGGATTTCTAGGACAGGATCTCTACATCAAGTGCCATTCATGGTACATGACACTTGTCACTTCATGTGGCCACAAAGTGATTTGCTGAATTCTACTATGTGCCAGGAACTTTTGGATTGCTTCTTTGAATTCATTGAGCTACTTTTGGAAGTAGGATCTTTTATTATAACCACTGCTTTCTAGAAGAGAAAGTGGAGACATGATACATAAAGTAGCTTGGACAATGCTTCATAGGAAACAAGCTTGTAAAGGGAAACCTTTTCCTTGAAGAACCCTTCCCGCCAGCCTGATTCCAGAGCCGCATCAGTCCCAAATAAACACACAGGAGGCTATATTAATTATGAAGCTGTTGGCCTTGCTTGTTTCTTACTGGCTAGCTCTGACTTAAGTAATTACCCCATAATTGTTAATCTAAGTATATCTCTTACTGGAGAAGTTTCGGGCTTCCTACCCCCATGGCGTTACATCTTGACTCTCTGTGTTCTCCTTCCCAGAATCCTCCTGGACTCCTAGTCCCACCTATCTAGATTCCTATTGGCCAGCAGTGCTTTATTGACATATACATATGACTTCCTCCACATCTCCTCTTTTCTGTTTAAACAAAAGAAAGGTCTTAACTTTAACATAGTCAAATTATATATAAAAGAACAGTTATCAAGTAAGAACATAGTTACAATATTTTGTCTATCAACATTTAGCAAGATTTAAAGAAAATATCATCTATTCTTGTGAGTCCAAAGTCCTATATGTAGCTTATCTTTTATCATAACTAAGGAAAACTATAATTATAACTATCTGTCTTCAACTCCATCAAAGACCATAGAAGGATAATATATAAACACTAGGATTGACAGAGACATCTTGCTACCTGGACAGTCACCCGAAGTTCCTCTGTAACGTTGCGGCATCCATCTTCAGCCCATAGGCCACAATGTATCCAGAAGATTTCTCAGCAAGGCAGGAAATTTCAAAACTGTCCATCTGCATTAGCAGTCTGTCAGTAATTTCTCTGTGTCCTGCAGAAAGTCTCGTAGACTCTTCCATGAAGCAGGAACCCTGTAAGACTGAGTTCAGCAGTCACTTTCCTGTGGGTCCTGCATGTCCAGTTTATACAGCAACAGTCAAGCATTACAGGCAAGAGCAGTTTCTTGCCCAAATGGCTAATCTTGCCATGTTGAAAGCAGACTCCATAACGAGTTTCTTCGATGCCCATCTTCCTCTCAGACATAATTGGTGCTGCCAGGAGTAGACATTTCTCATTGTCATGAAAAACCCTAAACCATTTCAAATGCCATTTTCTGAAGGTCTTTGAGAGGTTTGAAGACTGTTTATCTATCTGAAATACATTTCTGTATATCTAGAAAACCTAACTTACCTAACTATAAATTCTATTTTAAGTAGCTATCTATAGTCTGTATTCAATTATGCATTATGTCTTAAAAGATCAGTATAAGCACAATACTTAGTCAAGAGGAGAAATATATACATCACAAAATTGACCTTGAATTTGTATCAATAAATGAAAAACAATACCCATACCATAATTCCCCTTTTTACCATTAAAAAGAGATTGGTTGTGATCATTAACCAATTATAAACAATCCCATATAAATGAAAACAAAGGTTATAAACAAGATGGGAATTAGGATGTCGCTCATTCCAAACTGCTTTGTGCTGGAAGGGGGCGCTGTTTATACCATGGGGAGCATGACAAAACTCAGAAACTTGTATAAGTCCTTATTTTCGTGGTCTGTAAAGCTGCATCATCCTAGCTGTTTTAGTTGTTGGAACACCTGATCCACTGCTTCTGGGGGTCTTGGTTCGTCAAACCAAAGAAGCCTGGAAGGAATCCTCAGCTTTTCATTTTCTGTGGAAACATAAACTAAAACTCCTTTTCCAAGTAACATATCCTTATACTTAAATTTTGAAGTCAAGGCATTTTTAAAAGATATAAGTTGAATTAATTCAGCTGCATTTATAATCAAGTGTTCCTTCCTGAGCAATCAAAAAACTGAAAAACACAATAGCATACAGTATCCAGACTTTCTGTGTATTTTCCATCTTTACGTGGCTTATTTATTTATCTATTATTACTGTATTTCTTTTACTTTTATTTCTTTTTCTCTGAGACAGGGATTCTCTTTGGAAATCTGCCTGCCTCTGCCTCTACAGCAAATCTTACTCTGCCTCCCGAGTGCTGGGATTAAAGGCGTGTGCCACCAACGCCCGGCTTTTCTATTTATTTACCACTATGCCCGATTCTTTTTCTCTCTCAATCCTATATTTTTAAACACACTGTAAACCTTTAGAGGCTTTTCTTTATCCAAGTCTGACTTTACTGTAAATCTTTATGTTTTTCTGGCCACGTGTCTTATCTGTTAAAACCGCGGCAGTTTAAACTGCCTTTTTTTTCAAGATGGCGGGCGTAAGCGTGATTTCATGCTGACATCCAGCAAAAGCTGCCACTTCCAGCTGTACGTACACACCTTTCAATCGTTAGCAGAGTCTCTTAAAGCAACCTTGTTGGGTTTTTTTTTGTTTTAATGCCGTGTCAGGAAGACTAACTTAAGCCAGCCGCGAGTCTCTGCTTGCTGCTAACAAAACAGAGCCTGCCTGAGAAAATGCTGCTACCAAAAATGTGTGTGTCTCTCCATTCTTCTGTTTCTAAAATTCCTTTAAAGCTTTGGTCATTCTACGTGGAAATTCAATCCTGCCCCTGATCACCATTTGTAAAGGGAAGCTTTTCCTTGAGAGACGCCTTCCCGCCCACCTGGTTCCAGAGTCGCATCAGTCCCAAGTAAACACACAGGAGGCTATATCAATTATGAAGCTGTTGGTCTTGCTTGTTTCTTACTGGCTTGCTCTGACTTAAGTAATTACCCCATAATTGTTAGTCTAAGTATATCTCTTACTGGAGAAGTTTCCGGGCTTCCTACCCCATGGTGGTTACATCTTGACTTCCTGTGTTTCTCCTACCCAGAATCCTCCTGGACTTCTAGTCCCACCTATCTAGATTCCTATTGGCCAGCAGTGCTTTATTGACATATACATATGGCTTCCTCCACACAAGCTAGTGCAGAGCTGAATCTGGGCCAAGGCAGGGTGGCTATAGGAGCCTCCAAACTGCTTATATTGTTCTCTCATCAAAACAGGGGTCGCTCAGTGCAGCTGAGTCACCATCTCAGACGCGTGCACTGGGACCACAGGTGTGCACTGCTGCAGCTGGTGTCATGGGGGTCCTGGGGATTTGAACTCAGGCCCTCACACTTCTACAGCAAGTGCTGTCACCCACTGAGCCACCTTACCAGCTTCAAAACTTCATTCTTTAAGGAAAGCATAAGCAAGCATGTCTGTCTCTTTGCTGACAGGGCCCCCGGAACCTTTGTCTCTCTGCTCCCACATGGTGTGGTGGCTAACAATGCTACGCAGCTGTTATCTGGGAGATTAACTGTTTCTAGAGATATGGAGAGGCATGATGACTTTTTTGGAATATTTTCATGTCATAGCTACTCCAAGGTTTTAAAGACAAGTGTTTCCAGCTGAAAACACACACACACACACACACACACACACACACACACACACACACACACACCCCTGGGGAGCTAAGCATCCAGTTACACAGCTTTTAGTGGCAGAGTAGGCTAGCTCAGCATAACCATCATTGCTGCTGACCAGGTTTAAAAACAAACCCTGATCCAGTGGGACAGGGCAACATGAAGGGAATTTGTCCCATACTCAAGACTTGGCCTCACACTTCTAGAGTCTGCTACTCAGCAGTCAGGCATCTGGAGATGGTCAAGTTGTCTCCCCAGGCCTGTTTCCTCATTTGTAAAATCCCAGTGCTGCCTCCTAGGGTCATAAGGATTGTGTTGTAAAGGACCCGTGGAAATGCTTAGTAATGACACCTTTATAATTAGAGCATTAATACTTTCCATGGTGGGGTGTTTGAGATGTGGGTACAATGAGATTTGCCTCTCACTTGAGCAAATCTTAATATGCTGTTCTTCAGTTTAACCTCTTCTCACTCATGTAGGGAAAAGGGTCCAGCCAAAGAAACACTACTTGAGCAGAGCCAAAGAAACACACTTTGGCCCTGTAACCAGAACCAAAGAAATGTACCC